TTGAGCAGGTGCTGTCATAAATTTGTGTTTTGCCAGCTTTTTGTTGTAGATGATCTCATTGCTCATCACAATTGATTTCTTGGTGAGCCTGACTGGCAACCAGGTGAAGAAAAAACTGGAGAAATCTTGTTCACTTGCAAAGCCTGGAATGGGCGTGTCGTGTGTGAATGGCTCGCAGCCACACTTCGTACTGCGGCCCCAAACTATGACCCTGATTTTGATCATGGGTGCCTTTCCCTGGCATGTGCTGCATCGACTCTTGCTGACAAGAAATCTAAAAGCATACAGGGAATGGCATATATGGGGTATATATGGGGTATGTAATTTATATTTATATATTTGTTTATATTTGTTTATAATATATCGGAATCAATCTTCCACCTCGGGGCCCCCTTGTCTGTCCTGCGCACTGCATTGGCGCCCATATGGCGCATGGCGCTCAGGACCGCGATGGCCAAATGGTTTTGGATTCAAGAAACAAACCCTCGACGGTTGTAACTTGGAGCTGCCTCATCCTCTCGACTTTATGTTTTTTGGGGGGGTTGGAAAATGTTTTCAGCTACCGAATAATGATAATGGGTTGGCCTGACCTACTCAGGGATCAGGCTACAGCAAATGCTCTACATGATCAGGGCATGGTCTTTCTGAAATCCTTTGGCGCTTTGGGGAGAATTTCAGTGGCGCTATCCCGACATGAGTTTTTGATGAAACCAAAATTCCACGTACCTAGCCAGAAAAATCAAATTTGGGCATCCATCAAAAAAACATTTTGATTTATGTGGTCGACAATTTATCGACCATGTGTTGTTGCTAAACTAAGACAGCTTGAATTTTTCATGTGTTGTACAAGTAGTGGCCAGATTGATCCCGGTTGGCGGTGCAGCCGTGCGGTCATGGTCAACCCAGGCTCTTTTGGAGGTGGGCCAAGAAGTGAAAATTCGAAGTTTCTCGGTCCAACACTGTGATCGGTATCAGTATGTTGATCATTGTTGAACAACTTGTGTAACTTAGTCCCTTTGTGCCATGGGGCGTGATTGCCACATCGAGGATCTAATCCGCGTTTCCAGCACTGCTTTGTGGATGAGGACGGAATGCGGTGGGCAAAAGGTATCTGGCCTATGGTTTAAAAAACAATGGTGATGGTGATGATGATGATGATGATGAAGATGAAGGTGAAGGTGAAGGTGAAGGTGATGATGATGATCATGATGATGATGATGGTGATGACGATGATGATGACGATGATGATGGTCATGATCATGATCATGATCATGATCATGATGATGACGACGATGATGATGATGAAGGCGATGATGATGATGATGATGATGATGATGATGAAGGTGAAGGTGATGAAATGATGATGATGATGATGATGATGATGAAGGTGAAGGTGTTGAAATGATGATGATGATGATGATGATGATTATGAAGGTGATGACGATGATGATGACGATGATGATGATGATGACCATGATCATGATCATGATGATGACGACGACGACGATGATGATGATGATGAGGATGATGATGATGATGCAGGTGATGTTGGTGATGATGATGGTGATGGTGATGATGATTATGATGATGGTGATGATTGCGATGATGATGGTGATGTTGATGATGGTGATGATTGCGATGATGATGGTGATGTTGCTTAATGAATATGAGAAGGTAATTTTGATGATGATTGTGATGATGATGATGATGATGATGATAACATTTGAAAGAGATGCTAGTAATATTGTGTTAAATCTATTTTACAAGCCTAAGCATCTCCCACCCTGGCCAAGGAGTCGCAAAATATGCACGTGCAACTTACAAACCTCGTTGGGTACTGTCCTGCCAACGCTTGAGGCGCAATTTGTTCATGGTGAGTGCTTACCCCAAACAAAATTGCCATCTTTGCGCGTGTCGCTATCTCAACATGCTTTGTCCCGAAGGCTAAAGAGCATGAAGTACAAGATCAAACAGTATCTTGAAATAAGTTGGTACCACCATGGACCGTGGTTGCTTTTGATGATTTGATTAAGGTCATTATTTTTTTTATCCCTTTGCATGTCTATTTGCCATCCATGTGGCATCCAAGGTTGACAAAGCGTGCTGCGCGATGATTCGAAAGGGATGGCTACCCTGCGTGTGAAAAAAATGATGAGTTCAAGGGTCTCTGATTTCCAGGGGGGGTGCGCTACAATGGTCTTTATAGAAACGACCATTTCTACAATAGCCTTTGGACTTGTAGGGGTGCTGATCTTTCTCCGCACCGTGCACGTTGAACATGGGGCGCCCTGCTTTCTCAAGATGAATTGTCCCATGCTTCCTCTGGGCAGATGCTTCTCGATCTTCCGTTGGTGATCAACACGATCACGGAACCTCATGCGGCCCCATTCGCTCCTTGTCTTCAACATTTCCATGACTGCCAACTTCTTCGCAGGCATTGGTCTTGACTTTGCCTCTTGCTTGGACTTCGACACCTTGGGTGGTGGTCCCACAACGGATCCCTTCTTTGGTGGAACCTTGGGTTCAGGTGGTCGCTTTGATACATCTCGCACTGTCGCCTTCTTAGGTGGCGGTCCCATCGGCTCTGGAGGCCTTAAGGATCTTTGTGCCTTGCCACTGCCACTGGGCCCCGTCGAGGACGAAGCGTCCTGACTGGCCCTTGGCCTCGGTGGCGGCGGCAACTTTTGAAACGGCATTCCTGCTGGCAAGTGTGACCGTGCTTTAGCTCTTGCCTGCAGCGCGGCTAACCCTGTTTGGAGAGTTTGTTCCAGCACAGCTGCATCGGCATCGTTCAAGTTGTTCACGTCGAAGGGAATGCTAAATGCGCCAACCTGCGGCACAGCTTTTGCTCCTGCAGTCGATGTCTTCGACGCGGATGCCTTTGTCTTTGGCTTGGCCTTTGAACTGTCCTTGCTTTTGGGCGTCTCTGGTTCTTCGACCTCAAGACCTCCCAACAGCAAACCATTGCTCTCTTGCCATTCGCCTTCTTGAGCCCATTCGGCTTCCCAGTTGCCGTCCTCATTCCATTCCTGCTCCCATTCTCCTGCATTGGGATTGTTCTGAACTCCCTCTTCAGGCTCCACATTGTTGACTCCTTTGCCCTTTCCTTTGTTGCCAGGCACTTTGCCTTTGGCTCCTTTTCCCTTTTGGCCTTTGGACTTACCACCTTTACTGCTTCCCTTTGTTCCTTTGGACTTTCCTTTGCCTTGCATGTTGTTCCCTGGACCTTTACCGGCAGTGCCCTTTGCTACTGAGCCTTTGTTGCTCTTGGCCCAGCAGTCCGCTGCTTTGTGCCCTGTCTTCCCACAGTGGTGGCATGCACCAAGGAACTTGGTGGTCTTGCCCTTGGAACCAGATCCCTTGTACCCAACAGATGAAACATCCATCGGGTCACCAAGAGGATTCTGGTTTGCCAAGGCACTGGCGGCTGACACTAACTTCAGGCTCTTGCCAGTCTTGTGCTCCACAAAGCGCGTAATCTCCTCCATGAGATCGTCGAAGGTTCCAAACCTTGATTGGTTAAGCTGGACATGCGCCTCCAAGTCAGGTGGAAGCATGGCTTCTAGGGCGGCCATTTTTATCTCGTCGGAGATGGTCGTCCTCGACCCCGTGCCATCTTTTCTCTTTTCGTAGGTTCTCACTGCGTCAAGCCACTCTTCGATAGCTTGGGGCAACGTTTCCAGCTTTTGTTTCTGTGGGTTGATAACTGCTTTTAACATGGTACGCTTTCTGGAAGCTGTGGCTGGGTCATACCTCCTGGACAGTCTCCTCCAGGCTTCCAACCCGCTTGTACCACAGTTCACCACAATGGCGAACGGTTCCTTCAGCGTAACCATTTGTAACGCAGAAGCCAGTTCCCTGCTTTTCTCCTCTAAACCATTCACTTGGTCGAGTGCATCAGCCAGGTCTCCAAAAGCTCGCCTCAGCTCTTCCCCGGTGATGCTCTTTTCCCTTTCTTCGCACCATTCTAGCACTTCTCTCAGGTCAGGGTAGACTGAGCAGATGTAACTTGTCATCCGGTGCCTCCAAGGTAAGAACTGTTCAGCCTCACCTGAGAACGTGCTCGGTTTGCCGAGCCCCTTTGTGTCCACCAGACACAACCGATCCTTTCCTTTCGAGTTTTTCATGGCTTCGACCAACTCCTTGTTTTGGTCTTGCAAGACACTCCGTAGCGTTTGTCCCATCTCTTGGATGGCTGCGGGGACCATCTGCAGGTTCCCATGTGTTGCCATGGCGGCCTGTGTCACTTCCTGAAGCCGTTGAGCGCTCTCCTGTTGCACCCTGGCCAGCTCTTGTTGCTGCTCTTGCCTTTGCGTCGCCATTTCTTGTCTCAAGGCTACCATCTCTTGCACCAAGGCTTGCACTTGAGCCTCTGGCGTTGCCATTGTTCCTTTCTCCTAGTCCCCCTCAGGTGAAACACCCGAGTGGACTCAGTCCTCTTTTGGGTACTCCCGAGCCAGCCTTTGCCTGAAGCGCTTGCTCAGGTCCAGTTGGCTCAGGTGAACCCCCAGGTTGTGCCACAACCTTTGCAACCGACGAACACGCTCGAGTTTCCTCACCAAGCGTTCCCAACGGTTCAGCCTTTCCACTGCGGCTCTCCTTTGACAGCAGCGACGCAAGCACATGTAATTGCCCTCACACCGAGAGCTCCGCTACCATGAACGGAGTTTTAGGCAGCTCTAACAGTTTTCACTACAGGCTTGAGCCACGTGTAACAAGTGAAACAACATGATCCTATCCATGTACAGCTAACATGCACTAGAAGTCCTATGACAAGCTTCACATCGAATCATTGTATCAATAATAATGTATATATATAATATTAAATAAATATATATATATAATATTCAATAAATATATACTGTATATATAATAGATTACGCCCGCCAACTACAAACACAACAGGTATGAGTCGCCTATCTTCCCAGAACCCAATGAGAGGCATTTTCAAGCTATCTTTCCGAATATTTTCCGTGCATGTACTTTGTTAAGCATCCAACACATCTGGCATACTTGAGCTGCAGGTAAAGTCGGTGCCGAAGAAGTCGCCTGACCTGTCGCATGGTCGCATGGAGACTGTGCCACTTTGGCCGCTACTTTGGCCGCTACTAGCCGCTACCATCACATTGCGTTCTGAGGCCCCAACTGTGGGCTTCGAGGGTCCCACAAAGATCCCGCCCACCTCGACTCCGGGATGCCGTGGATATCGTAGATCGGGAAGGCGGTCCGAGGCTTCCACCAATTCTCCATCTCTCTTCTCAGCTGTGGCCGTGCCTCAAAAAAAATATCACGCCAAGCCGCCAAGCCATCATTCCCCACGTGTCGACTTTAGCCACTTCGTTGCTTCGGCCTCCTACTGTGCTTCCCGAAGAAACCACTAAGGTGCGAACAGCAAGCGAAGGGTCATTTCTCATGATCACAGGAATCATAGACTCCTGCAACGAAAGGAATTCTAACTTGCTCTTCCTTGATGTGAAAGGACTTTCTCATTGTCTGACTCCAGTCAGAAAAGATTTGCTCTGCATTGGCTGTTAACAGATGAGACATCCCATGTTCTCAACCACCTTCCATCGCGGCCTTCTTTGAATGGCAGCTTGTTCCCGAACGGTGCGTCCCCCGAAGGTGCATGGCTTGCACTGCTGGTGCAAAACCAAAACTCTGACAGCTGTATATAGAAGAAACTTCTCCAACATGGAGCACTTCAACTCAGTCGAAACCGGTCTTGCTGAGATTGCACATGATTCGGAGCTTTCATCTGGACTATATAACTTCTCAAGGCTCACACTTTTTCCACCCACGCAGTCCACGCAGGCTCGAAGTTTCACAGGGCTCAATGTTGAGCCAGGCATTGATACCTCCATCTGCCTTCTTCTCGCCATGCTTCAACCCATGGGTGCTCAAGCCCGCCTCACTTTTGAAAAGGACAAACCAGATAGTCTCCGGCACCTGTGCTGCTTGCAATCTCCAAGCCAAGTCCAGATTCCAGGGGAAAAGCGCCACCCCTTGGAGAACTTGATTTTTTACGCTCTCTTCCAGACGTGGTAAAAATTGCAAGGCGCCCACCTCCTGAACGTAGATCTCCATGATCTTTTGATTTATCCACCTGCCGTGGCGGCATGTGAGTTCTGAATCTTCTGACGTCAACAGCAGCGATGACGCTCCTCCAAGGCTTCGAGGTCCAGCCCTCGTTTATAATCACTTGGCAACTTCGAACCCCATTGGCATCCAGGAGAGACGCATGGTTTGCGCAGATTGAGGCCATAGCTTCTGCTGAGGTTTTAGCAAGCGAAAGGCCAGCTCCACCACTCGAAGAAGTTGCGGTTGATCCAAACGTGCAGACTGGTGTCTTGCTGCCCGAAAACGTGTCTTAGGTTCTCGGATCTCAAGTAGCGCGAATTCCATTGAGCCTCCAAGATCACTCGGGAGCAGCAGGTTTTGTCGCTGGGCATTCAGGACCTCGCCAATCCTAGTGATAGCACCCCACTAACGCAATCACACCAGCTACTCTTGACAACCCCCAGGACAATGCGGTTGTCAACAAAGACAGCAGGAGCTGCCAGGGTAACGCCACATGATGTGGTGGTGGTTCCTGCTGCAACCAGGTGTAAGCAAGGTCCCATGCTGGCTGCAATAGCCTGCGCAGTCTCGGCCTGCGTTGACAGTTTCAGCGTAATGACCATACGGTCTCCCTGATCTGTAAAGGTCACGGCCGTACCTCTCCAGCATGATGTTGACAAGGTCAATGTCAGGTTCACCTGGCCCTACAAGTGCATCGAGCCCAACGCCTTCCTTTTCCAACCAATCAGCAAAAATTGAAAGCAGCTTTTCTCGACTCGCTTTGGTAATACCAAGGACTGGTCTTCCAGAAGCCAGGATGCCATCTCCTCTTGCTAAACCGCGCTGATTGTCCACAGAGTTGCGAGGGCAAAGGTTTCCATGGCTTACCGCACCTACCTCCTGGCTGACCCCTAAAAATCCAAGGAGAATCCAAATCAAGAGGGGAGGTTTGGTCCGGGCAACACCCAAGGTGCAAGTCCAAGTAAATCCAAAGAAAAGCCAGGCAGCGCAAACGAGGCCAGCAAGGAAGACGACACGGGTGGACGTCAAGGCAAGTCCAACAAGGAGGCAGTGAGATGATGACCCAACACAGCCGCAAGCACCACAAATCCATGATAAACTCCCAGGCATGACACAAGGCTCTTCACCCGGAAATCCAAGGGTGTGATCAAAGTCCATAAGGCTTGGAAACGCACCAACCAGCTTGTTGTAGGGAACCCTTTCATAGTGACAATGGGCATACCTCCAAGCATCGCCAGGGCATCTCCAAGTTCTGAAAAGCTTGGCGTGACTCTGCAAATGAGGCCAAAGGACACGGAAGTGGGTGGCACCTGGTAGGGCAGTCAGCAACATTCCAACGCGTGGGACCAAAATGATAGGAGGGATACAGATCACCTACAACGCAGGTAGCGCCTGCCCTGCGAGTGCATTTTCGCAGACCCTCGGATGGAGATCTGCCTTTCACTAGTGATGACAGGCCTACATTGGAATCCATTACAATGGCAGTCTTACCGTGTGGTGAGGAAATGGCAAGGCCCTTCAAAAGCCTACAGGCAACATTTGTTTCAAACATGTTTATGTGGGCAGGCCTCTTCCAAATCCATGATGACACAGTCTCCCACTCCCCACTTAGCAGCAGGTCATTTACAAGAGGCGACTCAAGTCCAACAGTTCTGGAATCTTGGTAGCTGCTGCACCGCATTCGAAGCTGCAAAGACCTGTCCAAACAGAAGGCAAGCTGACGAGCAAGTTCATCAACATAGACAGCGGAAGCCCTAGCAAAACTGCCTTGAATGGGGTTGTGTTCATGCTGGCGGTCACACTTCCGGCTAAGACCCTCTGTGTCCATATTGACGACCAAAAAAGCAAACCCCTTCTGATGCACTGATCAAAACATGCAAGAGTCGGTGAAAACCTCCTCCGCATGCCCAGCTTGGATAAGCCACAGCCACTCCTGTAGCCTTCTCATCTTTGAACGCTTTGGTGTTTCAAGAATTGCTGGCAAATTGCTTTCGGATGCTAGTCTTGGGATGCAAAGGATCAAAACCCCTAGGCTTCTCGTAGCTTCTGGAAGCAGGATGTTGGGCCGGCGAAAATGTCGTGCATGGCGGCCCAAGCATCAATGAGTCCAGCCGGCCTCTTTCAATCATGAAGAAAATCCATTGGAGGAGGCGCAGTCCAGCAAAGTCATAGTGAGGTGATGGGTCCAAGTCCAGCACTGGGCCTATAGTCCATCCCATCTCTGCCAAAAACTTTGACACTTTGCCAGCTCCGCCACAAACCTCAACGAAATGAAATCGAAAAGCAATGGGTCTTTCTGGGTGCGCATCTTCAGGCTCACCCCAGGGTGGAATGGAAGAAAACTCTTCCTTCATGAAGTCAATCTTTCTGATCATAGCCTCTTCACGAGAGAGCATACGCGCATAGCCGCATAGCCTCCTTTTCTTCTGCCGGTTCTCCACAACGCCCTGCCAATTTCAACACGAGCAGGTCGCTTCACAATTGCTCCCATTTTGTCGGAGGAATCTGTCGCGTTGATGACATCATCCATCTGGGCAGCAAGGTTTGTCGCTATCAGGGGGCTTAGAACAGCAGGTAAAACTAGCTCCTCTGCAACATTGCGGGGCAATGGCAAAACCTTTGGGGCATCTGCGTCAAGCTCGTCACCATTAACTAGCGTGTAGCTCTTGTTTGGAATGGACATGAAAGGCCTACGATACATCAGGGCATGAGTCCAACCACCTACGAGGCAGCTATGCAAGGCATCAGTGGTATACTTCAATGTGCACAACTCCAAGGACAGAAAGGCAAGTGCTAGGCTAGCCTCTTTTTGGCTGGAGCGGCCAGCAACGTGAGGCCAAGGCTTCGGGTGTGAGGGCTGGAGTCAAGCTCACAACCTGTGACTTTGGCCTTGCACTCATCCACTATGTCCTTGTCACTGGAACCAAGGAGTCCAGCGACTTGATAGGCTGCTTGGGCTTTCCTAAAGCATGGCAGTGCAGACCCTTCTGCTGAAGCATCATTCATGTCTACTGCATCCAAGGCATTACCAGTGGGGAACACACCTACAGCGTAGAAGTCATCAATGACAAGCTCTTGAACCCTACGATCTCCTCTGAAGACCTTGTCGCTTCGGAGCTCCTCATGGTCAGGCAAAAGTCCAAAATCTTTGAAGTAGTTCCGATGGCTGCCGGTTGCAAACTCAACGCCTAAATGGTCGCCTTGGGGGTACTGGCAAAACAAGCTTGCAAGCAGGAAAATCCTGGAGCTGGCTAAGCAGGCTTGGTTGGAAGCCCGGCAAGTCCGTCTCCATGCAGTTCCCGCTGATACGGCTGTTTCAGCTTTTCATTGCTTGTGAATGCAGCATAGGCCTTTGTGTGGGCTATGTCCTCAACATGCAGGAGGGGCCAAAGTCCGTTCGAAAAGGCACGTGACTGACTAACATGAAATTGGTGGTAAAAATCCCTCCTATCGGAGATGCAAATGGAAAGCCTTTCTTTCTGAGGCTGGATCTCAATCACCGACCGCAATTGAGCAGTCGGGAGAGCTCTGGACACCCCCGGAAGTCTGGCTCGCTTCCAATTTTGAAGGGACGGTCGCCTATCATTCGATCAGCGGCTTCATTTTTGTAATTGTTGAAAAACCTAATGGAGCACTGCTGCCAAGTGAAGGTTGGCGCTACCTTCCGGAACATCACAAGTCCATTGGCGTCCCAAAGCTTGACCAAGTCTAGCATAGCATCGCACTTCTCTTTTGACAAGTCAGGGAAATCATCAGGAGGCGTGTCGCTGGTCCATGGCAAGCTTTTAGGCTCCACATAGGCTAGGTACATATCATCAGACAGGTAGGGAGTGGGGTCCCATGCAGCACAACCTGCGATTTTAAGCCTAGAGGGTTCTAGAGGTCTGTAAGGACGCAATTCCTCAGCACGTGAATCATCAGGCGGCAAAACATGACCTGCAACATTAGGATCCTCGGCACCAGGAAACCCATGGTGGTAACAATCACCAGAAAACCCTCTTTCAGTCAGGAAAGCACTCAGGTCCGACAACAGGGCCACAGGGTCGGATGATCTATTGGAAGGCACATGGAGCTGGTCCTTACAGTTACCGAAAGCTTTGAGGAACTTCCGCACAGTCACCAAACATTCCACCTGAGCTGGAGAGGGAGTTTTAGTCAAAGATTCCACAGGCACAAAACGAAAATCAGCATGCCAATAGCTCAGGGCCATCACCATGACGTGAACAACCTGATCAAAAGCATTCTTGCGCCGCGCTCTCAATCCAGCAGGAGCTGAAGAGAAAACTCCATATTTTCGCACTGGCAAGGGAAACAAAGCTCTGGAAGACGCCTTTGAAGACGGACTTTCTGCGTGGATGGTAGAAAGCAGGAACTCAGAAAAAGGAGAGGAACACCACCTCCCAAAAGAAAAGGTGCATTGACTTCCAAGGGCACTGAGGCAAGGAAGTTGTTTCGCTCCTGGCAGGCTGGAGGCCCGGAACAGGGGAGCAAGTAGTCACATCAGGATCATTCAAACCGCCTGATGGACTGGCATGCAAAGGTGCTTCAGCTAAGGCTTCGAGCTGATGATCTGAATATTCTGGGAAACGCTTCAACCGCTGTTGCTGCTGTCTGCATTCTTTGGCTTATTTGGGTGGCCTGGTTTTCGGGTTTGGGGCAGCCCATGGCCCTTTGCTTGTCCCTTCTTTCCTGGGAGAACTTGTGCGCACCTGGCGCCTGGTGTTGATAATGTCCAGCTCCTTGACATAGCTCAGAGTCGTAATGGCCCAATCTGGCGGGCACAAGGGCGAAAACGCCCGAAGCCCGGGTTTGTTGCTGCAGGCCGACTCGCAAACATCGATGCTGGTGGCTCCTCCTGCAGCGCAGGTAGCTTGCCCCCATCCTGAGAGGCCTGTTCTATGCTGACCATTGCAAGTGCCAGCATCTCCTGAGCTCCAAGAAAATCCTGGTGGATCATCTGGTCTGCAATTTGGCCAACTTCTCAAGCAAGGGCTCTGCTGGGCGCAGACGGCGTGCTGCGTTTTGAGCCACCTTCAACATGAAATTTCCTTTTCTGGCGGCCAAATCCGCCAGTAGCTTCTCTCCGAGGAAAGGAAAGAGCTTGATGCGGACCCCGCCCCATAGTCCAGGAACCCATCCTGATTTGCTACATGACTGACCAGAGCTTTGAGGGCCTCAGACTGCTGGAGCAGCAACTGGGAAACAGGGATGTCGGATCCCTGTGCTTCTTGCAACTGGGGGAGAGGGCTGGCTGCCTTGTTCGAGGCGGAGGCCCTATGTGCTCCAAGTAACCCCGAGCTGCCTTTGAAGTCGCAACCATCAAAATCGAGCATGGCTGGCGATATGCTGGGGTCTTGAGTCTGGCTGTACCTCCTGATACCACCTCCTCTAACCTGGTCTGTTGGAGTTGCAGAGCCTCCAATTGCTGCGTCAAGGCAGGAATCACTTGAACCAAATGTGAGACTTGCTCTGCCAAAGCAGCTGCAGTTACCCGCTTGACCCAGGGTTTCTTTGGGGCAGGATCTTCAGCCAAGATAGCAGGGCCTTGGCACTTCTGCTGACGGGTAGGCAGAGGGAGCACCTCCTCCTCTTCCTCGGCTGCAGTGTAGTAGTTGATCCTGTGCCCCTCGGCCATCTGAAGCCACTCGTAAGCCTGGGTCAACAGGGATGCAGATTTTGGGATTGCCTCCACGGGGTCTGCCAAGAAAGACGGGGCCTGAGAAGGGAGGACTGCAAGGGAGAAATCCACCAAATCCAAAACCATGGGGGTAGGGAGCAAGGTCTCCGAACCATCTTCCTCCTCGTCCATTGGGGCAGCTTGACGGCCAAAGTCCAGTGCGGCAAGGCAAGGAGCACACCGCTCTTTCGAGAGATCACAGGCACCACCACGGTTTCGGAAGCCGGAACGCCGGGGATGAGACCATTGGGAACATTCAGCACGTACAGAAACAGCGGACCCAAATCCAGAGTGACTGCTCCACAGTCTCCATCATTGGTCACCTGGGAAGTCGATGCCAATTGCTGCACAGTAGACCCGGGCCTCAGCCACTGAAGGGAAGGAATGAGATACGCTATCTTCAGTGAATCGAGGGACAAGGCGGAAGTACTCAGCAGCAGACCCCACCTGCACAGGACGCACAACACCAGGACCACGGATAACCAAATAGATGGACGGCCGGAGGGCCAGCTTTGGCATGGGACGGGGTTTGGGAATCCCTCCCGTCCAAAGTTGCCTTTGCCCAGATACCTGCCTCCCATGCTCTTTGCGTTCTAGACCTTGGCTCCTCCGCAGTGGCACCAAGCCTGCCACACAAATCCGCTTGAGACTGAAGAACTGAGGTGATGAGGCTAGCAATCTGATCGTAGGCAGAAGAGTAGCTGTGAGGAACAGCAGGAGTTTGATCAGAAGAGGCAAGCTCAGAAACAAGATCCCAGTCATGTGAACCCTGGGAAATAACAGCAGAATAAGCTCCGTCTTGGCTTTCGTGGAGCGCCCGTTCAAGGCTGTCAGCAACAGACCTGAGAGAAACAATAGCTTCAGAGATTGCGGCAGGTGGCCGGGGACGCTCATGCAGATACGCCAGCAAGCGTGAGTTCACAATGGAGGAAAGAGGATTGGACGGAAGAGGTGAACAAGCCAAAGCAAGGCAGAAATAACACCAGCCCCAAAACCGGCAACAAAGACGGCACCAAGGAGAGGAATCGCAGCCGAGCAATGGGCGGGACACCACAGACCAAACCAGGAGGACGAAGAGCCAGCCAGGAGCAACCTACCTACCTCCACCAACCAAGGGGGCATGAGCTTGAGCACCGTGTCCACCAGTCGCCAGTCGAAGTTAATGGTCATATATATATATATATACATATATATATATTCATTGCATTCCCTTTCTTTCCATGGAAATATATCTTGAGCTCAGCTTCTCTCCATGTCCAAGACGGGCCCAAGCAGAAAACAGTCTGGCTGCGGACATCATCCAGCGATGAAGGTGAAATGCCGTCTAAGAAGTGCTCGCTATCAAACACTAGCCACTACTCAGACAAACACAAGAACGACACAGCATCGCAGGATTCCAGAAAGTCTGATCAATGCAAACTGCTTGCCTCCTTCTGTCCCGCGGCAGTCTTGATGGAAATGCTACATGGAAAATCTAAAGGGACAGTCCTCTGGCAAGAACTGGCAGAATTTCCTGAAACTGTCCAGTCAGCAGGAAACTCCTTGGCTTTTTCTTGCGGTGGCTCTCTCCCTGCACCATTTGACTGCGCCGGACAAATCAAAAAAACAATGCAAACATATACAAACAATATCAAACAATCAAATTACAAGACCTGATGCTGATTCTTTCACCAGCCAGACACCACCAGACCATGTTTCTCAGGCTTTGGTGTTTGACCAGTTACTCGCAGCCTTCCCAAGGCCCAACAGCCGACATGGGCTCAAAGTCAGAATCTGGTGCACATCTTGTTTGGCAAAGATTATTCCCTCATTGTAGTGATTTGTTGGAATTCCAGCGGTGGTTGCCCAAATTTTCTTGGGAATGCCTCTTCACCCTAGCCACATCTGGCGGATATGTCCGCGTGATGCACATCTCAGTTGTGCCATCTTATCCCGGTGGGGGAATATCTTCACAATTTTGTCAATCTTGTTGCGTTATTTCTGCCTTCTCGGGGCACGAGATTCCATCGGCATATTAGATATTAGCTATTTCCGGTCAACTTTGTACAGGAGCATCCGCCCTGCTCTTTGACACTGCGATGACGGAGAAGTTTAACCAACAACGAGCAGACAAGCTGTGCACATGTCCTTTTCGGGCAGAAACCAACTTCTCAGTCACCTCACCAGTTGCTACAAATGCCCCAAGAAGCTCTCGTCATCACGGCCTTTGAATCCGGCGACCCTTCGAGAATCATCTCTGGCCTGCAAAGCCTCAGCAATCTAAGCAGCAAAAGCTGCATGGCCAACAGTAGCACATAGCACCCGGTGGAATGCGACCAATTCATCCACTTTGAAGCACCCTAAATTAATGCAGGGCTGCAGTTGAAGAAACAAATACTTCCCGGTAAGTTGAGATTTCATAAAGTTTCTCCGGCCTCCGGAGGGAGTGGTCCTGCTTCAGCCAGGCGCTCCCTCCAAGCAGGTCTACCGCGACCTTCGCACTATACAGGCCTTTCTATTTGTCGACTCCAGTTTCACAGAGCTGGGAGTGCAAATAAGAACATGATGTGTCGTTGCAGAGGTAGACCTTAAGACTATATGGATGTCAGTCGCATCGTAAGCCAGAACTACTCTTTGAAGAATCTGCAATTCTTTAACCTCTGCACGTTGTCCCATTGAAGTTGCAGACTTACTGAGGAGCTGGCTCTGGGGCGTTTCTGACGGAGGTCCTGAGGAGCAGGGATCAGGTTGTGGAGTTTCAAAGATCGGCAGGGGCAGTCTGATTTGCCAAGTCAGTCCTTGCTGTCCAAATAAATTGAAGGAGAGCACCGCTCACACTCTAGAGTGAATATGGATAAGCCAGGCTTCCAGTTGCAAGATCTACATAGAAAGGTCTTACTTGCATGACAGAGACAGAATTTGCGGCTGCAAAGAAAAGGTAGCCAATGGTCACATGTTCTACAATCTAAATAATTCAACTGAGAAGTTTCAGGTGCCTTTCAACTGTTTTGCATCACACTGCCGACTGTATGTCTACAAAACAGAACACTGTCAAGGCTGTCACAAGGCTGTCACAAGCGCCCAGTTGCGGCCCGCCTGCTGGACTTGCAGCATAGTCCCGCCTGCCGAGATGAATTTGATGTTGTTTTGCCTGT